CATGTCTCCATCAGCATTGACACATTTGTGCACATAGATGCGCATGTACCATTTTTTAATCAACACCAGAAGGAAAAAATGATTATGTAACAGCAATCTCAGTCCTATGGAGGGACCTGTCACGGTGATCCTACGGGGCTTTGTGAACATCTGTTCAGTATCAGTCCCCCATGAAGAAATTATTCTTATGCTCATTTGAAAGACAGGTAAAGTAACGGTCAGAATGGTAAGACAACAACTGGCGACAGATAACAGATCCAGTCTTCATTAGTGAGGTAATAAAGCTTGGGCTTACAACTAGCAAAAGCTTTCAGGGTCACACAAGTGTTCATACACTTGGAATTTGTTATTTCAAATAGCATTTAAGGATGACATTAGCTACAAAGGCCAAAAATCTGGGATATAATGTGCTTCTTTCCTGAAGCCCCTGGAAAGCTTCCAGGCCCTTTGTGCTGGGTGGCAGCTCCAGCTGATTCAGAAGGCATCAGCTACCAAGGAAAAAGTACAAAGTGAGTCTGAGGGCTTCCTGGCCCTTTGCAATGGGGGAGACAGATCCAGCTGCACCTTGATCCTGGAGATTAAATCCTTATCAGAGGGATGATCCCAGGGCTCCCAAGGAGGCAGTCTATCCTGGGAAGGCCCCAAGGAAGGATTCATTTTAGAAGGCTCTTTGCTGCTCTGATGTTTCCTCATTCCATTCCATTGAGGGGCTCAGAGTATGGATGCTATGTGGGGCAAACTCAGGTTTACAAGATATATAACCATTTCTCTAAAGGCAACTTAGTTTCTTTCATGAGTGACAGTCTACCAAGTGGGCAGAATGTCCATCTCAGTCAAGTTGCCATTTCCCTGGTTTGATCTCAATTCTGGGGGTCACAAGATGCCAAGGCAAGCCCGACACTTGTCCTCACCACTGTCCATGCTGCTAGCATTTGGGGTGGTGGCCACCATCTTACTTTGGTCTTGGTAAGGATGCTCTCACATGGTCCTTATTCTCAACTGAAAAGCCCCTCACTTACTCTCTCTGCACAACCCCTCCTTGGGCATTTGGGAGTCATTTTGGATGGTCCTTGTTCCTTCTGGGCTCCAGGGAACTCTGGGAGTTGAGTGCGGGTTCATCTGCCTGACCACACAGCCATTTCTGCCCTGGGTCTGCTATGTTCCCTGGGCTTCGATTGGGAAGCAGGACACAAGCCTCTCTGGGACAGATTTCTATCCCAGTCTGGGTTTTCTGCTCTTCCCTCCCTCCCAACTTCCTTTTACTGTACTTTCTCCCCCCAGCCTCAAACCTACAGCCAGCTTTGCCCTGTGTGATTCTGTTCTTCCTCTCCCAAATCTAAAGTGCAGGCCAGCAGTCCCTCAGGACTTGGGTTCTGAGACACAAAGATTTTTCTCATCTTTCTACTGTGACATCCCTTCCCTGAGGCAAGGATGCCACCTGGTCCTGTTGACTGAATGAGGCGGACTCTAGGGGGAGGACAGGGGACAAGGAAATGTAAGGAGGAAAAAAATTAATTGAAAATTCTAAATATTATTTTAGCCTACACACAATAAAATCAATCTAACCTAAACAGAAAAGCGAGAACAAAGAACATGCAATAGAAATTAAAAAAGAGATCCAGAGGACAGAAGAGCATTTAACATACAGCCAACAAGTCTAATACATATTTGAGCTTAGAATTTGCCTGAGTTTCCTGGCAGCCAAAAGGGAATGGGGAAGGGGAAGATTACGTAGGCACTTTATATTCTTATTTTTAAAACATAGAAAATATACAAATTCATCAAGAGAAATTAAGAGGCTTTTTGTCTGTTCTGAATTCCAAAGAATTGTCACCTGGGACTTCAGAATCACAGCCATAGTGGGGCAGAGGCAGTGTGTGTGAGGGGAGTGTGAATTTGACAGCATGTCAATCCAGAGATTAGCAAATGGCTCTTGAGTCCCAGTCATTTCAGATCAGAAGCTTGAGGTTACAGCAGAGAGGCCACTTCGCTGATTTGGCCTTCTATTAGCCTGCCTGCTTGCTTTCTTTTTTGTATTAAGTACTGCAGTTAAAGTCTGGCATTTTTAAATGTACATAGGGAAAAAAAGATGAAGAAAATTCAAATACCCACAACAGGTATAAGTGTAGCATCTCCCCTTATGTACCAGAAATACATTCTCCAAGACCTCCAGTGGTTGCCTGAGACCATGAGATCAAAACAGTAGTGAACTCAATACACTTACACTGTTTCTTCTCATAGGGCAGTGATCTCAAACCTTCCACAGGTTGACTGCCCAATCTACAACTCAAAACCCAGTTATTTATTGCAAAGTGTCAACAGTGCAATTAAAACTTGAATACTGAGATTTTCATTTATAAAAAACCACATATATTAACATCATCCTCCTTAAAAAAGAAAAATAGTAACAGAGCTTTCAATGATACAAACAACTTTTTATTGAAATGTAAGTTTGTATGTGGTGTAGTTTTGCACAATTAATGTGTCTTCACTGTGGTATGCATGTTGATAGTCTGTCAAACCTTGGCTCATACTTTTGTTAGAGACCCACACATGCAACACTCAGATCATCCTTCAGTATGTTTCTTGTATACAGTTTGATACAATTCAAAACTGAAAACAGCAGCCCACAAACTTAAGATGTTCCAAACAAAAAAAAGCAATCCCGGGGCCAGGGCTTTAGCTCAGTGGCTCTGGTGCCTGCTGTGCAAGCAAAAGGTCCCGAGTTTGATTCCTAGTACCAAAAAAAAAAGCAATCCTAAGCGCTTTCATTGATTTAAAATTATTTGACAGAGAATTGCACACTTTAAGGGGTTTCATTTTCAGAACCACCAACTGTGCTGTCTTTTGTCATTCCTTCACACTCTATCTTCACTAGTGTTTCATACAGGTCATAAATTTTTCCAGACAGAGCTTTCTTGAAATTCCAATAGCTCCATTTCCAAATTTCCAAAATCTAACCAGCATAAGCAGGAAAGATCAAGTTCTTCAAATTGGCTTTATCTGGAGCAGTAAGAAAACACAGGTTTGTCTCCATCTTACAAAACTATAAAAATCTGTTACTAAAATTCTCCTTTGCAGCTGCTCCAATGCTAGAAAATTCCTGTAGATTTCCTGATGGCTTGCAGGATTGTCTGCAATTGTCACCAACAGCAAAACACAAAATTACTGCTACCCCTGCATGATTATTATCTGTGCTTTCATCCAAGCACATGGCTGCCTTTTGTAAGTCAGTGGTGAGACTAATACCTCTTGCTACGCACAGAGCTTGATCTTTAACAGTATTTCAACTAAGTGGCACCTCAGAGATGCACTGCATTTTACCCTTGTTTGGGAAATCACGAAAAAGGGAATTCCTCCATGACAACATGGCCATTGTGATAAAAATCCCCATTAGAGAGGGGCTTAGCTCCACCGTTTCCTACCTACCCTCCCTCCTCCAGTTAGTAACTCTTTGTCAATTCAGTCCATGCAATCTACTATGCCAGGTTTTGTACTGTACTGTACCACCTTTCTGAAGTAACTGTAAAAGTAGAAACAGTTCATTTAAGAAAAACCCCTTGCCATTTTCTGTGTTGTCAATCTCTTTGGTAGGTCTGTTCCTATCTAAGAAAGTTCACACCTCAATATTTGTAAGTTGGGGATTTACTGTATTAGAAACAACATGAGGGCCGGGGAGTTAGCTCTATGGTGCTGTGCCTGTCTCGCAAGTGCAACCGGTACAGAAAGAAAGAGGAAAGAAAGGAAAGAAAGAAAGGAAGGAAAGAAAGAAAGGAAAGGAAGGAAGGAAGGAAGGAAGGAAGGAAGGAAGGAAGGAAGGAAGGAAAGAAAGAAAGAAAGAAAGAAAGAAAGAAAGAAAGAAAGAAAGGGGGGAGGGAAGGGAAAGGAGGGAAGAAAGAAAGGGGGGGAGGGAAAGGAAAGGAAGGAAGAAAGAAAGGAAGAAAGGAGGAAAGAAGGAAGGAAGGAAAGAAAGAAAGAAAGAAAAGGAAAGAAAGAAAGGAGGGAGGGAGGGAGGAAGGGAGGAAGGGAGGAAGGAAGGAAGGAAAGAAGGAAAGAAGAAGAAGAAGGAAAGAAGGAAAGAAAGAAAACAAACAAACAAACAACATGACAATGGTTTATAAAAAAAATCCACAATGGGCCAATGGCTTTATCTATTAGGATATTCCTTTCCAAAGTTTAAAAAGGGACATTTAAGAAGGCCATATATAGCAATACAATCATACACTGACTACCAAGTGAGATATAGTCTTAAGAATGTGTTCATACACAAACTAAGGCACCCTAAGGTGTCTATTATTTTAAAAACCTGATTTGGACCTTAGTATGATCTGTATTTACATTTTTTTCTTATTATTACACCCAAGTCAAAGACTACTTAGATGAGACTAAGAATAACAAAAATGTAAATCTTTAGGGACAAAGCTGAAAATTAAAGTATTGGAAGTCACTGATATTGTTGTAAGACCAACTAAGAATAGGACTTTATTCTATTGTATAACTGTTAATTACTATAGTTTGATCCAGTGCAATAAACACACTGACTCTTGTTTCCAACCATGTTTTAAATTGGCAAAAAAAGGCCGGAGATTTAGCTTAGTGGTTTCACCGCCTGCCTTGCAAATGCAAGGACCCGAGTTTGATCCCTGGTACCAATAAATAAATAAACAAACAAACAGACAAAAAAAGTTCAAAATCCTTTTAGAATCTCATTTTGTCAATAAGGAGTCAAACAACCACAGGCCAAAATCTTTAGTTATCTTATAAAATGAATGTAATTTGACCTATCCAATAAATTTTCATCAAGAGAAAGGTATTGAAGTTAAGTAAATTTCAGAAATGCTGCCTGCATACTCTACCCTTCTAAAGATTCACAATACACAGCAGGATTTTCACAACTCATACTCCCAGCATACTTTTAGCTCCACTTATTTAACCCAAACTCAACCAACAGCCACTTACTATTTAGAGGACCCAGTAAAAGACTTTCCTAAAATACTTACCCATGCATATAAGCATGTCAAGTTCCTTAGAGTATAGTGCTTACTCTTCGTCATTGTTATCATCATCATCATCATTTACATCAGCAGCTAATTTTAGTTTTTTCTTGAAGAAAAATACATAATTATGAGTAAGATCCAATCCTAGTCACCAAATTGAAAGCTAGAATACACTATTTGTAGTAAAATTAGTTCTACCTGTGGAAACTTATTACCACCTCCAAGATCAGATAGCTTTCCAGATGTAGTCTTCCTCATCTGATTCTTTATCTTCCTCCACAGCTAAAATGAAAGAAGACACTATGAAACTCCAACAAGCAAGAAATCAGAAAAAACAATGAACACTAGTAACATACAGCATTAAATACTTAAAAAAAAAAAACAAGATTCTATTAAAAAAACAGCAAATGGGAATCAAATTTGTTGAAAATGAATTCTTTGGAGATACTAATGTTCACTGCCAAACTTTAATAGCACAAGCAGGCCATTCCAGATATAATTACAGTACAGCTAAGCCCCAGACTTACGAACATTTGAGTTGCACGGACCTTACATTATGAACATTGGGAGACGGAACATCACGGAAGTAGCTCAGTCTGCCAGACATTGTCATTTGTACTGCTGTGTGCTTACTGTACAGTCTTCTATGATGAGAAAAAAAGCTATTACTCAGACATCACTGGATCACTTTTTCAAGAGGGTGGACAGAACTGAATCCATCAAAAAACCTGTCATCAACATCAAGTGTGAATGAAATTCCATCTTGCCTTCCATCTACTGCTGATGATCCTTCAGCTTCACCATCACTCACCTACTTTCCCTTCTCCAGTTAGTAACTCTCTTGTCAGTTCACTCCATGCAATCTGCTATATTCCAGTTGTTATACTGTACTGTAGCATCATTTTCAGGTAACTGTAAAAGTAAAAATAATTTCCTTACAATATTTTTGTATGTGTGGCTTTTTTTATGCTTATGCTGGGATAGAACTTGTTGGTAAGTCAGGAAATTATTGTACTATAACCCTAACTGAACCTATTATAACCTAGAGCAATACTAGAATCAAGCATGCCTTTCAAGTCCAAACTGGAAGTCAAACAATTTCAGTAAATAGAAAAAGTAGCTTAATACAGCATATAAAAAGACCTACTAAGTGCTCTACTAACATGCACAGGCCCTGAACCACACCTCAACCTTAAGACCACAGGTGTAATTTAAAAGCCCCCAAGGGAAAACTTAAAGGAAAATTTTAATTAAATTTAAGCACTGTAAAGAAAATTTATAACAGCCATTTCGGGCACACCCCATACAATCAAATCAAACCAGTGAACCTATTTTCGCCCTTCTGATACAGAAGCATCAGTGACACAAGATGCAGCTGTGATAACTGGGACAAAGAAAGAAAATACCCCCCTTATTCCCTTGATGCAACCTAGAAGATATCCATCTTTTTTCAATTTTTTTAAATAGGAAGATATTTATTGATAGGAAAGCTCCTGAGGGGCAGGAGGGGTCCTGAGCAGGTAGCCCAAAGATACCCATCTTTAAAAAGATCTAAACTCTCACATAAATATCAAAGTTCACTTGTCCTTACAGTTGGCTGCACAGACATTTTCAAAGTTGCTAATGTTACTTTAATTGGCCTCTGTAATTCATTGCCTCTGCTTTGACAATGTGCAATTCATCCTTTGCAACAGTCCCTAAACTGACTTGTGAACAACAAAAGCCAACATTTATATGATAAGTGTAGAGATGAGGTATATTCAATACCTAGTTACAAAAAATACTAACTTATAAGTAGTCAAGGAAGCAAAAGTATTAAGCCACATGAGTACGAACTAAAAGGCTGATACTTAAATATTAAGTTGTTTATTTTGAAAGCTTAAATACCATTCTTAATGACAACTGGTGCTCATTTTCATCATTATCCACCTTAAAGTGATAATCTTTGTCAGCCTTTAGTTCACAACTTGTAAAGAAAAGGCAAATTGTAAAAGAGAAAAATAACACCAAGGCTTAAGAGTTAGCAACTAAAGAGGTAAAGTTACCTTGTGGACCCGTTTTTCATTACTCTAGATACCAGAGGACAATGCAGAATCTCCTTTCTACATTTTCATACATGAATACACTGGATAACAACCATTAAAAAAAAAAAACACCAACTTTATAGGGCCGGGGATTTAGCTCAGTGGTGCTGAACCTGCCTCGAAAGCACAAGGTCCAGAGTTCAATCCCCAATACAAAAAAAAAAAACCTTTACTAATTCCACTTTCTTATACTATTTCATTCTCAACTACAATGAGACAGGTAATTAGTACCATTCTACAGATGGAAGCATGCTCATTGCTTTAGTGGCAACTGATGCAAGAGCTTCCAAGAGAAAAGGTTAACAAAATTTTTAAATTATTAAGAAATATTGGGCCGGGGATTTAGCTCAATGGTTTCACCGCCTGCTGCACAAGTGCAAGGACCCGAGTTCAATCCCCAGTACCAAAAAAAAAAAAAAAAAGAAATTTTAACTATTGAAAATGGGTACGAACAAACAATGTAGAGTGCATGGATCTACTCCCATTCCATGAATGAAAAAATTATTCTAAAGGTTATCAGAACTAAAACTGAACTTGAGAGGGTTTCATTTAATAAGCACTTAACAGTTACTGGTACATAATTACTGTACTCAAATGCTATTGCTCAATTAACAAATCTCAGCATGGCTAATCAACAAGATGAAATCTGGGCAGGATTTATGAGTCCAAGTCAAGCACAAAGAGGTTTCCACAATTAAATTTGCTGAGATTGAAAACCAAAGTAGGACTCTCCTAAGTGTGTAGTGTAATTTGAGTGTGGGGAAAGGAGGTGGTCACCTGAAAGCCCTGGTTCTTCAAAGTTCACAGTCCCACGTCTTCAACCTGCATTTTTCTCATTAAACCCTGTGCTCCATGTCGCACTCAAGGTAGTAAGTAGCCTCCATTTTCCTTCCTCCAAATTACAAAACTTCTATTTATACAGCGCCATTTGGACTCAAGCGTCGTGGTTCAAATTTTGTTAAACTATGGGCAACATCTGTAAGTCGCTTCACCAGTACTGTCATCTGCAATGGGGAGCGATTTCCATGTACAGCAGTGAGACAGAAAGTGCTCTGAACATGAGAATTACCATCATAGAAGATGTTGCGAGCACTGAACAAAGACCTCCAGAATACTGGCACTATTATCCAACTCACCCAAGATCTCTCGCCCAACCATTCTCAACTAAGCCGCAGGATGCAAGGTTCGTCGGTGACAAGACACCAGCGAGCCCCGGATATGGATGGAGCCCACACCACCATCTTGCCCGAACTAAGCGCTACCAGCAGCAGCGGCCTTCTCACGTCCAGCCACAGGAAAATTCCGTCCCCAAGTTCTACACACTTTAGTCTAGAGAACAAGGCCAGGCTCCCTCTATTCCCTCCCTACAGTAACCTCCATCTGCGGCCCAGCAGTAAAGACACCGATTTGCATCCGAACCCTACAGTCTTACACACCTACAGTCTTACACACGCATGACGTGGAATCTCTCTCCTACCCCAGAAAAAGGCGACCCTTCAGCCAGCCGGTTTTCCACCTCAGATTCTAGGCCTTGGACCGCTCACGCCCCAGGCTTCAGGGCGCCGGTTCTCGCTTCCTACGTCCCATTCGCTCAGCAGCCAGCGCTCTGGCCGCCCCACCCTCCTCCCCCAGCCCACTTAAGTTTTCTCCACCGACCCGAGCCTCAGTTGGATTCCCGCCCCCCCAGCCACCAGGCCCGCTCGGCCTCGTTCTAACACTCTCTCAAAGCAGTTACCGAAAAGATAGTTCTGGGGCCTCAGGGGGCTCATGTCCATATCCATCGAATCTTCCATGGAGTGGTGGCACGCACTTAGGTGGATGAGAACGCGGACGGAAACAAATAGCTACTGCCCCAGAGAACAGACGCGCAGGACGGAATCACACCAGGGAAAGGACACGGGCTCCTCGCGCTTATATATACTATCCTGCAATCTCGCGAGAGTTTCCCAAGTCCGGCCTCAGCGCGCGTGCTCCAGATCCCCCCTCCCGCACCGTCGCTCTACAGCGCAAGCGCTCTTCAACCCCTCTTCTTTCTACATCGCCCCCCTTCACCTCTTCCAGGTGCTTCGCGGGCTCCCTTTGAGCAAGCGCACTCGTGCTCTGGGCCCACCCCTCCGCCGCTGTCGCCTTTGCGCATGCCTGCTTCTTCCTCGTCTCGCGCGTTCGCCCCGGCCAACCTATCCACGTCCTCTCAGGCTCAGTCGCGCGCTGGCTCCGCGCCGAAAGCCTGCGCAGCCCACCCTGCAAAATGGCTGCTGCGGTTTCTAGGTCTCTCAGACACGGAGGATTCCAGGGTGGAAAGTGAGCCAGAGAGTAGCTCAGTTCACCTTTCTCCATCCTCTAATGCCCTGCAGGCTTACGAACAGGCATAGTCACGTTACGTTTTCTGTCTTGCCTGAAGGCCTCGTTTCCCTAAAGTTAATGCTTGGGGTGCTAGAGGCAGCTAGAGGCTGCAGGTTTTTCTTTGTTGAGTAGTAAAGATGTAGCTACCGGCCAGATTTGCTCAACTATAGCTCCAGCCTTTCTGAGGAAACATGTCTAAAACCAAAGATCTCACTTTTACGTCATTTGGGAACCAAAAGGGGACTGAGCCAGTCTCCTCCAAGGAGCAGGATAACATCCCAAATGTTCACAGGATGTGCAACCTCTGAGAAAGTGCAGTTGTTCATCTTTAACATTCCTAATGAAAGGACGCATATGCTTTGTGAGAAATAGGTACGCTTTAAATCAAATACTGTCTTTTAAAAGTCAAAATGACCGTGAAAGGTAAACATTTTGAATCAATTCAGGACGGGTAGACAGTCACCACCACGCAATTAGGGACACAAAAAAGGACTTGGAGAAAGAACTGTTTCAGAACATAGCAGGAACCCATAGAATGAGTGTACCTGAAGGAAAGGGGAGAATTTTCAGGGGGATTAGTGGCGATCTTTCACTTTAATTTTTTTAAATGTAAGCATGTTATATTTTCCCATCACACTGTGCGCGCGCGTGTGTGTATGTGTGTGTGTGTTATTTTCCAACTTTTCTTCTTAACCTGGCTTATCTTTCCAAGGCATAATACCTACAGGCCCACTGTGTTCTTTTTAGGAGTTCCATAGTGTTCCATTAGATAAACATGTAAACTAATTCCAGGGTTTCAAAATTTTCTTTATTTTTAAATGAAGGCTGTGTACACATTTTATGAGGAAATGTTTAAACATGAACAAAAATAGAATCCTATGTTAAATTCTGATCTTCAGTTACCATGCTGTGTATGTAGGCAATCTTGTCTCATATATATACCCTACCATCTACATATTTTGGTATCTTGGGGTGGGGATGGTTCTGGAACTAACCTTTTGTAGATACCAAAAAACAACTATACAACTGTATTTCATATTATATCACATCATCAGAAAGAAATACATGAGGATATGCCAATGCTAGTGATTAATAGACATTCCACCGCATACATATTTCAAAACGTCATGGTATACATCATAAATACACACATTTTGCCAATTAAAAATAAAGTAGATAAGCATTTCTCCTCGAAAGCTGGACTGCACATTTGTAAGTGTTCATTTGTAGACACGTTTGATTTCTCATGGATAGATATGTAGGAGTGAAAGTCTGGGCCATCTGGGAAATCCATGTTTAACTTTGAGACACTGCTGAACTATTTTCCAAAGTTATGCCCCTTAACCTTGCCATCAGCAGTGTACGAAAATTGTGCTTCCTGGGCCGGGGATATAGCTCAGTGGTTCTGCTGCCTGCCTCGCAAGTGCAAGGTCCTGAGTTTGATCCCTGGTACAAAAAAAAAAAGAAAAAAGAAAAAAAGAAAATTGTAGTTCCTATATATCCTTGCCAATACTTTTTCAAATTTAGGAATTCTCATTCTCATAAAGCATGTAGTGATGTCTTTGGGTTTTAACTCACATGCCCCTAATGACTAATGATAGCATCTTTTTTGTTTTTATTTGTTGTCCATATGCCTTTTTTTTTTTTTTTGGTATTGGGGATAAAACTTGGGCCCTTGAGCTTGTGAGGCAGGCGGTGGAACCACTGAGCTCTGGCCCCTGTATATCTTCTTTGACAGAGTGTCTGTTTAAATCTTTTTTCCCCTCACCCCTTTTTGCCCATTTTTTAAAAATGTAAGCAGCCACTCTACCACCGAGCTACAATCCCCACACCTGCTTCCTTTCCAGGTTGTTTCTGATTATTGAATTTTGGGACATGTCTTTATGTTCTAGATTCACATCCTTTATCATCTCTGTGATTTGTAAGTATTTTCTTTCTCTTTTCTTTTTTTTTTTTTTGTATCAGTGATCTAACTTGGGACTCTGTGCTTTCGAGGCAGGCATTGGAACCACTGAGCTAAATACTGGGCCCTGTAAGTATTTTCTCATGATATATGACTTGTCTTTTCATTCCCTTAA